AAAAAAATTAGCCAGGCGCGGTGGCAGCTGCCTGTAATTCCACCTACTCGGGAGGCTAAGGCAGAAGAATCGCTTGAACCTGGGGTGGGCAGAGGTTGCAATGAGCTGAGATTGTGCCACTGCACTTCAGCCTGGGTAACAGAGACTCCATCTCAAAAAAAAAAAAAAAAAAAAAAAAAAAGGAGTTTGGTTGGAAGTGGTTCTGAGCCCTGGTTGCGCTTTGGAATCACTTGGAAACATTACAATAATACTGATGCCTGGGTTCTACCCCTAGAGATTTTGGTGCAGTTGGCCTGGGGTGGGACCCAGGAGTCAGTAGTTTTTCCAAAGTGTTGCCAGGGCTGAGGACAATGCACGTAAGAGAGGCTGATGGAGTTTTTAAACTTGGAGAGAGCAGAGGAGTATCTCTTCTGGGATGTGGTCAAGAATCTGAGCTCGCTTTGGGGATAGGAAACATTTGTGCAGAGCTCAGCAGGGAAATAAAGACCCTGTTGATCTCCAACTGGGGCCTCATCTGCCCTCATAACTGTTCCTTTTGAGCTGCTGTTTCTTATTCCCCATTTAAAAGTGAAATTCAACTGGGAAATAACAAAACATACAATAAAATAAAATAAGCTGAAAGATTACTCAATAAAAAGAAGCAATAAAATAGTAAAAGCAGGCAGATGTAGTAAAACCCCCAAAAGTCAACCAGACAGAATCACCACCAAGGGCCAGGCAATAAAAACAATAGCTAAAATGTACTGATCCAAGTGGTAAGCATCTTCATGCACTGAGACACTTGAGATTCGCCACCACCCTAAGAGAGAGGGATGGTTATGATTTCCATTTTACAGTGGAGGAAAACATGGTTTGAAGAGATGAAGTACAGCACTCAAGGTTACAGTGGGCAGGGCAGGGTAATAATCCACTTAAGTGATGAGGAAGTGGAGGCTAACTTGCCAAGACTAGTTAGCCAGTTGGGGCAGAGCAAGAAATTAAACTCAGGTTTTCTAATTCAAGTACAAAACTCTCCCCTCCCCCACCTCCAATAAAGTCTGAAGCCTGGCTGTATTCTGGGGTTATCTGGGAAGCTTTGACGATGTATTGATGCCAAATAGACATTTTTTAAAAGAAGACACACAAATGGCCAACCGCTGTTTAAAAAAATGCTCAGCATAGCTAATCACCAGGGAAATGCAAAACTAAACCACAATGAAACATCGCCTCATACCTGTCAGGATGGCTATTAAAAAAAAAGAAAAAAAAGACCAGTGCTGGTAGTGAAGGTGTGAAGGAATTGGAACCTTGTGCACTCTGGGTGTGAATACAAAATGGCGCAGCTGTTATGAAAAACAGTATGGAGCTTCCTCAAAAAATTAAAAATGGAATTACCATATGATTCAGCAATCCTATTTTTTGGTATTTATCCAAAATAATTGAAATCATGATCTCCAAAAGATATTGGCACTCTCATGTTGATATGGCTTGGCTCTGTGTCCCCACTCAAATCTCATCTAGAATTTTAATCCCCACATGTTGAGAGAGGGAAGGAAGTGATTGGATCATGGCTGCAGTTTCCTCCATGCTGTTCTCATGATGGTAAGTGAGCTCTCATGAATTATTTTTTTTGAAACTGAGTCAGGCTGGTGTGCAGTGGTGCAATCTCAGCTCACTGTAACCTCTGCCTCCTGGGTTCAAGTGATTCTCCTGCCTCAGCCTACTGAGTAGCTGGGATTACAGAGGACATGCCACCATGCCTGGCTAAAGAACCTGGCATATCCTCCCCTGTCTCTTGCTCCCTCTACTGCCATGTGACGTGCTTGCTCCCCCTTCACATTCCACCATGAGTAAACTTGTGGACTCCCCAGAAGCCCAGCAGATGCTGGCACCATATTTCCTGCACAGCCTGCAGAACTGTGAGCCAAATAAACTTCTTTTCTTTATAAATTACCCAGCCTCTGATGTTCTTTTATAGCAATGCAAAATGAACTAACACACAGATTAATAGATAAAGAAAAGGTGTTATACACACAGAGTGGAATACTATTCAGCCTTAAAAAGGAAGAAAATTCTGACATATGCAACGATATGGATGAGCTTTCAGGACAATATGCAAAGTGAAATATACCAGTTACAGAGAAGAAAATAATTCCACTCATATCAGGTACCTAGAATAGTCAAATTCATAGAATCAAAGAGAGGAATGGTGGTCACCAGGGTGCCAGGAGGAGGAGAAAACAGAAAGTTACTAATCAATGAGCATAAAGGTCCAATCAGGTGGCTAAGTGTGGTGGCTCACGCCTGTAATCCCAGCACTTTGGGAGGCCGAGGTGGGTGGATCCCTGAGGTCAGGAGTTTGAGACCAGCCTGGCCAACATGGCAAAATCCTGTCTTTACTAATAGAAAAATTAGCCAGGTGTGGTGGTGTGCACCTGTAATCCCAGCTACTCTGGAGGCTGAGGCAGGAAAATCGCTTGAACCCAGAGGGCAGAGGTTGCAGTGAGCCGAGATTACCACTTCACTCCAGCCTGGGCAAAAGAACGAAACTCCATCTCAAAAAAAAAAAAAAAAAAAAAAAAAACAACACAGGCAGGACAAACAAGCTTCAGAGATCTGCTGTATAGCAGTGTCCTGTACAGTGAACAATAATGGATTGTACATTAATTATATGTTAAGAGGGCAGGTATCCTGCTAAGTGTTCTTACCCCAATTAAAAAAAAAAGAGAGAGAAATACTGGTGCTGATGCTGAGCCAACCCTCAATTTTAACTTGTTCGTCTTGGGATGGGGCCCAGGCAGATAGGGTGGACATGGTGCAACTAGACACTTAAATGGCTGGGCTCTGCATTTAGTAGTAGTTATTATTTATTGAGCACCTGGGGTACTGAGCACTTTGTTGCTTTTGCATGGAGCCTTCCTAGTACCTTGTGAGGTGGCTATTGTCATCCCTACTTGAGAATCAAGGAAACAGAGAGGTGAGGCCACTTTCTCTAGGTAATCCAACTGGAAGTCACTAGAGCATGTGTTCAGCCCTCGTCAGCCTGACCCCAAAGCCTGTATTCTAGCTGCTGTGCTGCACGGCCTCCAAGCCCAGGCACCTGTGGGGCACAGACATGGGCACCACATGCCCTTTCAGTTCACTTCTCTGTCCTTTAAGTTTTAGGGTCAATAGTGTAACATTTGCCCTGCACCTGTACACACTAAATGGCCATCATCCAGATGGAGAAGGGGTGGTTTGTGTCTCAGCATTAAAGAAAATCTTTCTGGCAGCCAAAGGAGCTCCATGGTGAGATGGGCAGCCTGGAAAAGTAGTGGGCGACCACCACCATCCCTAGGCACCCACCGCCATCCCTGCACATCCACCATGATCCTTGGGCACACACCACCATCTCTGGGAAGCTACCACTATCCTTGGGCACTTACCACCGTTCCTGCACAATGACCACCATTCCTGCACATTCACCTATGTCTGGGCACCCACCGCCATCCCTGTACATCCACTACTGTTTCTGAACACCCACCACCATCCCTGGGCACCCATCACTGTCTCTGAACACCCACCACCATCCCTGGGCACCCATCACTGTCTCTGAACACCTGCCACCATCTCTGAGCACCCATCATCATCCCTGGGCACCCACCACCATCCCTGGACACCCACCAACATCCCTGGGCACCCATCACAGTCTCTGAACACCCACCACCATCCCTGGGCACCCATCACTGTCTCTGAACACCCACCACCATCCTTGGACATCCATCACCATCCCTGGGCACCCACCACCATCCCTGGACACCCATCACCATCCCTGGGCACCCACCACCATCCCTGGACACCCACCACCATCCTTGGACATCCATCACCATCCCTGGGCACCCACCACCATCCCTGGACACCCACCACCATCCCTGGGCACCCATCACCATCCCTGGACACCCATCACCATCCTTGGGCACCCACCACCATCCCTCGGCACCCATCACCATCCCTGGACACCCATCACCATCCCTGGGTGCCCACCACCATCCCTGGGCGCCCACCACCATCTTGTACATCCATTACTGTCTCTGAATACCCACCGCCATCCCTGGGTACCCACCACCATCCCTGCACACCCATCACCATCCCTGGGCACCCACCACCATCTTGTACATCCACTACTACCTCTTAACACCCACCACCATCCCTGGACACCCACCACCATCCCTGGGCATCCACCACTATTCCTGGGCACCCATCACCATCCCTGGGCATCTACCACCATACTTGGGCACCCACCACCATCTTGTACATCCACCACTGTCTCTGAACACCCACAACCATCCGTGGGCACCCACCACCATCTTATACATCCACTACTGTCTCTGAACACCCACCACCATCCCTGGGCACCCATCACCATCCCTGGACACCCACCAACATCCCTGGGCACCCATCACTGTCTCTGAACACCCATTACCATCCCTGGGCATCCACCACCATCCCTGGATACCCACCACCATCCCTGGGCACCCATCACCATCCCTGGACACCCATCACCATCCGTGGGCATCCATCACCATCCCTGCACAGGCACCACCATCCTGGAACATCTGCTACCATCCCTGGGCACCCACTACCACCCCTGCACACCCATCACTGTGCCTGGGCACCCACCACCATCCCTGCACATTCACCACTATCTCTGGGCACCTACCACCATGCCTACACATCCATCACTATCCCTGGGTATCCACCACTGTCCCTGGGTAATCATCTGAAAGATCTGTTGGGAGAGGAAGTGTCATCCCTCAAAGTAGTGTGTGTGTGTGTGTGTGTGTGGGGGGGGGGGGTAGGTAGAGGTGTGCAAGGGGGCTGGGATTAGTTGTCCCTGCTCTGCTTCTGGACCCTGAGTTGAGGGGCTCAGGTGGGCTAATCAAAGCTGAGTGGTGGAGCTGTTTGTGGGAGATGAGCTCACAAAGCTGGAGTTCTAGAAGGCCCTTGGTTGGCCAGGAGCCTGCCTTCCCCATGGTTCTCTCAACATTGGGTGCCTGGGGCCCTGGCACAGTCGTGGGGGCATCCTGAGCTGAAGCAGGGTTTTGGGCACCTGCTGCTGCTGCCATTGTCACCATGGTCTCAGCTCTGTGGGGAGCACCGTTGATCAGTGAGCCCCTTTCCCCTTCTTCCTGGAGCTGTTAACAGGGGCCCTGGGTTGGTCTGGTCAGAGAGGGGTGGTGAAAAACAAGATGGTGGTTAGGGTGGGGTGTCCCGTCCTGAGAGAGTGACCAGCTGAGACAGAGAGAGAGAGAGAGAGAGAGACAGAGACAGAGACAGAGAGAGAGTCAGAGAGGGGAAAGGGAGAAAGAGAAAGAAACCCCTGGAGCTGCTGTGAAGTGCTCAGGATGGAATTACCTTTTTTTTTTTTTTTTTTTTTTTTTGGAGACAGTCTTGCTCTGTCACCCAGGCTGGAGTGCAGCGATGTGATCCGGGGTCACTGCAACCTCTGCCTCCCGGGTTTAAGCGATTCTACTGCCTCAGCCTCCTGAGTAGCTAGAATAACAGTTGACTACCACCTTGTCTGGCTAATTTTTGTATTTCTAGGAGAGACGGGGTTTCACCATGTTGGTCAGGCTGGTCTTGAACTCCTGACCTTGTGATCTGCCTGACCTGGCCTCCCAGAGTGCTGGATTACCGGTGTGAGCCACCGTGGCCAGCCTGGAATTACTTTTAAGTCAATTCTACAAAAAATAAAAAGCCCCTGCATAGCAGTCAATTTGGTTTCCTTCTCTACAACTTAGGGATGTTAATCCTACCCCTTTCAGTTGTTGAGAAGATTAGATGAGATTAAGTTAGAAAACCTCCAGAAAGTCCTGGCACAGTGCTCAAAGACTTGACAAAGTCCACCAGGTTGGCTGGCTCCTTCCTCTTACCTCCCTCACGTTGATGAGAAGGGCTCACGTTCCTGTGGCCATGCCTTTTGGGGACTTGTGTTTCAGAAGCAGCCACTGAGCAGTTACTCCATGCCAGCAACTCTGCAGATAAATAAGACATGCAGATAAATAAGACATGCAGATAAATAAGACTGGCCGCTGTTCTTCGGAAGTTAACTTTGTTGTGGGAAAGACTGACATCTCTTCCAGTCAAGTGTGACAAAAGAGGTGGAAGATCGGGCGTGTCAGAGTGTGGGGGGCGGTGGCCTGCTGAGAGGGTCTCACTGGGGAACCCTTCAGGTGTGAGTAAGAGTTAACTGGGTAGAGGAAGGCAGAGGATGAACGTTCTAGACAGCAAGGTCACTGTGAGAGAACACGGTGGCATTGCTGGAGCATAGCGCGTGAGTGAGGGAGTGGGCAGCAGGGCTGGGTCGTGGAGGGCCTTGTGGACCTCGAAGGGGCAGTGGTGGTGGGATCCATCCAAGGTGTCACAGGGCTGGGCTGTTCGTTTAACAAATTCGTTCTGATGGATGTGCATAGAATAGTTTGGAAGAGTGGTCAAGACATGATACAAGAAGACCATGCAGGAGGCCATGATGGGGGTACGAACCAGGAAAGGACGGAGCTCTTGGAGGGAAGGGAGAATCCACAGGACATTGGGACTGATTGGTTAGGACTGGGTGAAAGATGTCATGGGGAGGAAAGAGTGAAGAATGACATCCGTATTTCCAGTTTGGATAAATGGGTGGCCCATCATGTTTTAAAGCATGTAAAGGAAGTCACAAGGAAGAAGCAGGGTTTTTTTTTTTTTTTGAGACGAAGTCTCCCTCTGTTCCCAGGCTGGAGTGCAATGGCACGATCTCGGCTAGCTGCAACCTCTGCCTCCTGGGTTCAAGCGATTCTCCTGCCTCAACCTCCTGAGTAGCTGGGATTACAGGCACGCGCCACCATGCCTGGCTAAGTTTGTATTTTTTAGTAGAGATCAGGTTTCACCATATTGGTCAGGCTGGTCTTGAACTCTTGACCTTGTGACCTGCCTGCCTCAGGCTCCCAAAGTGCTGGGATTACAGGCGTGAGCCACTACACCTGGCCAGAAGCAGGTTTTGATGGGAATATTGGTTCTGTTGAGAGGTGCTGAGTTTGAGGTGCCTGCAGGACATTCAAGTGGAATCGTCCAGGTAGTAGTTGCCTCTGAGGTCTCAGAAAGACCCCACAGAGGTCGCCACACTGCAGGTGGTGGCTCACAGCAGGGCTGCCCAGAGGGTTTCCTGAAAGTGGAAGAGAAGAGGGCTCAAGGCAGGGAGGCCTGGACAGCATAACAGGTTTTTGGCCTGGGCAGAAGTGGGTTCCACAGAGGATAAGGAGGAGAGTCAGTCAGGGAGGGAGGAAACCTGGGAGAGGCGAGCATCGTGGAAACCAGGAGAGGCAAGCCTTTCAACAGGCGGTGGTCCACAGCAGGTGTGGCTGAGAGCTCCCATAAGGCAGAGCTGACAAGGTCCTCCTTGGACCTGCAGAGCAGTTTCAGCACGTGGTGGTGGCAGGGAGGCCAGTTCTCCAGGTTGGAAAACAAACGGGGGGGAGAAAGTGGGAATTTCCCCCAGGAGTTTGGGCGAGAAGAGAGGGAAAGAGACAGGAGAGTACCAGTCAGTATGAGACTCCAGGGAAGGCGTTTAGAAGCTGGAGACTGAGCGTGTCTCCACAAGCAAGAGGAAGGTGGAGCAGGCTGGGAACGGAGTGGTGCCCGGAGAGGAGGGACCACGAATGGAGCAAAGCCTGGAGACCGGAAGGACAAATCTAGAGCTCAGAGGGAAGATGGTCCTGCGTGGAGGTGGAGGCCCCATACCCGAACAGTGACAGGGTGGAGATGAGGCCGAAGAGGCCACTGATGAGTCTGTGAGTGGGCGGGGCGAAGGCAGAAAGAGGAAGACATTCCACAAGTGAGCACTCTGCTCCTCTTACTTTGTGCAGCGGGAGACGAGGTCGTGTTCTGGGAGCCAAGGGGTGGGACAGCGTGACTTGCTCATGAAAGCCGAGGGCTTTCATGTCCTTTGTGGGAAATGGGAGAGAGAAAGCTGAGCAGAGACAAGCGCAGGTACCAGTGCCCGTTGTAGTTGATAACAGAAACAAAAACTCACCTATTTTTAGTGCCAAGAGCTAAGTTGTGCCCACGCCTTTTCTCGTTTATTCTTCCAACCATTGTATGGGGCAGGTGTTACTAATGTCCTCATTTTATAGAGGAAACGCGGCTCAGGGAGTGCCCACGGTCAGAGCTGGAGCAAGGAGCCGAGGGGGGCTTCCACCCCAACCCGAGCCTTGCTGCAAAGCCACGCCCTCAACCACTCTGTCATCCTTGGTGGCATTCAAGGTCCCGTGGGGGTTGGAGACCAGGGACACTCATTGGCACAAACAGGAGTTTGTACAACCCTTTCACTTTTTGACTCTGTGAAGGTGGAGAGCAGGTGTGGAGGCTCAGAGGTCATGAGAGGCGTGGGGAGACTTGTCAGAGCTGATGGGCGGTGGAATCAGGGCTCATAGAGGTGGGGAAATGCGGGTGAGGACAGGAAGCCTGGATGACCAGGGCAGGGGAGGGAGTGGCTGAGACAGAGCGGGAGCGAGCGGGAGGGGACTAGATCTGAGGAGAGGAAGGAGCCCTGAGGCTGACACCCAGGTGCTACTGTCCTCAGTGATTTGGGGGACTGGCCACACACAGCCAATGATGAGAGGCCATGGAGGTCAGAGGCGGGCAGGCTGGGCTTCCAGGGAGAAGGGCTTTTTGCAGGTTCTGGTTTAGAAGGGGTGGTGGGGGTGAAGGAGACTTTCGGGACTGTCTCAGGGCTTTGTGTGTGGAGAAAAAGCAGCTTCCCCTTGAGGGGGCTACAGGGAAGGAGTGCTCTGGGGGAGACCTTGTTTTAGTTAAGATCTTGAGATGGAGGCTCAGTGCCAGAAGGGCAGTCCCCTTGGCAACTGGACTGAGGGACCCATGAACACAGTGTGACACTGCTCGGCTATCTCCTCAGGGAGCATCTGCTCAGTGGGGCTTTGGATTTCTAGAACTTTGTCTTCATCCAAATTCTGCCCCTTCCTACTTGTAAAATCATGGGCCTCAGGAATAAATCATGGCTGGCATGTACTATGGAGGCCGGGATGGTGTGAAGCAGGATGCGGAAGGAGAGGGGCTGGCCTCAGGGCAGAGCTGTTGCTGATCGGGCATGCCAGGGGACTGATATGTACTGCTGGAGCCTGGCCTTCTGCCCACCTCTTCTCTCTTCTCCTCTTTTCTAGGGGTATGCTCAAACCCCGTGTCTTCTCCTTCTGTGAATGGACCGCTGAGGCTGGTGAGCCGCCTGTCATCCCAAAGCTCAGCTCTGAGCCAGAGTGGTGGTGGCACCACCTCTGCCGCCAGCACAGAAGCCAGGAGCAGGGCTCTCAGACGGCCAGCTGGGACCATGTTGTTGGCCCTGGTCTCTCTGCTTAGCTGCCTGCTCCCCTCCAGTGAGGCCAAGGTCTACAGTCGCTGTGAACTGGCCAGAGTGCTGCAGGACTTCGGGCTGGACGGATACCGGGGATACAGCCTGGCTGACTGTGAGAACCCCTCTCTCTGGCTGGCCCTCGCTTCCCCACACCTCTCTCCCTCCTTCCCTCCCTTTCTCCTCCTTCACAGGCTTTGGCTTCGGGAGCTTTTAGAGCCCTAGCTGTCATCCGTAAACTGAAGATGATTTGAGAGGGCAGGTAGAGAACAGCCGGCACCGAGCTAAGCATGCAGTAGGCAGGCGGCAGGCAACCACAGTGGAGTCATGCCTTCATTTTTCCCCTGCTGCTAAAGTCGGGGTCGAAGGAAACAAGCAGCTCGGTACCCTAAACTTAACTGTGGTCACAAGGATCAGACATTCCTTCTGGAACTAGAAAAGACAAACTGAACAGAGTAGTCATGCCAAACATTTCAAGCTGGTGGCAGTTTTAGATGGCCATCCGGGCAGGGCAGTCACACCGGGGCTCATCTTTCCTCCCGTTCCAGTGCCCTCTATAGATTCCACCTGGGTCTCCCTAATCTTGTCTCTAAAGATTTAGCACTTGTAGGCCGGGTGTGTTGGCTCATGCCTGTAATCCCAGCACTTTGGGAGGTTGAGGTGGGCAGATCACCTGAGGTCAGGAGTTCGAAACCAGCCTGACCTATGTGGAGAAACCCCATCTTACTAAAAATACAAAAATTAGCCGGGCATGGTAGCGGGTGTCCGTAATCCCAGCTACTTGCAGGGCTGAGACAGAATTGCTTGAACCTGGGAGGTGGAGGTTGTAGTGAGCTGAGATTGAGCCACTGCACTCCAGCCTGGGTGACAGTCTCAAAAAAAAAAAAAAAAAAAAAAAAGGGATTTAGAACTTGTAGATTCATTCAACAAACTTACTGGGCACTACTCTGTGCTAAACAATGAGCAAGTGGGAAGATTGCTAGCCTGAGTCAGGGGGCCTGAGGCCAGCCTTGACCTCTACTATTTGTTAGCTGCATGGGACCTTGGGTGAGTCACTGTGCCTCTCTAAGCCTCTACTGATTGATTCAGCTGCAAAGCAGTTAGGAGGGCACTTGCCCCAATCACCTTGATCAGGCAGGCAAGGCTCGGTGGAGCCAGCATGGGACCTGCGCAGTAAGCCCCTGGTCTGAGGTGGCCATAACCATCTGAACCCCAGGCCTGTGCTCTGCCCTATGCAGGGGTCTGCCTTGCTTATTTCGCAAGTGGTTTCAACACAGCTGCTGTGGACCACGAGGCTGATGGAAGCACCAACAACGGCATCTTCCAGATCAGCAGCCGGAGGTGGTGCAGAAACCTCACCCCGAACGTCCCCAACATGTGCCGGCTGTACTGCTCAGGTAGCTGGGCCTGGCCCAGGACTGGCAGGGGTCAGGGCCTGCGTTAGCTTTCGTTTCCTCCTCAGTTTAGTTTGCTACCCCCATCTCTGAGTGAGGGTTCCCCCGCATCCGGCTGGGCCCATGGAGGAGAGGGAGATGGGACAAGGGATGCGGGTAGGTCTTCTATCAGTCTGAATTGGGGGTCCCAGATGGGAGACTGGCCTTAGAGCTTTAGGAATGAAGGGAGGATTGTTTCTGATGGAGAGGGAGAGGGATAGGGTGGTACCTGTGCTTCCAGAGTGGTTGAGACAGAGTTGGATTTAGGGGAGTGGAGTGTGTGTGTGTAAGGAGACACACACACACATACACACACACTCTCACACACTCACTCTCTGGATGTCCCCTGCTCCCTCCTTATGTTTCTCTGCCTGTCACCCCAGATTTGTTGAATCCTAATCTCAAGGATACTGTCATCTGTGCCATGAAGATCGCCCAAGAGCCTCAGGGTCTGGGTTACTGGTAAGTGACTTGGGCTAGAGCCCCACCGCGTTGGTACGGTTAGGACTGGTGGGCAGCAGCAGGGAACAAACCCCTTTCCTTCCTCACTTCTGGTTTAGAGTCCACACCCTCCTTCCTGTTCTTCTCTGGGCAGTGACTGGCGACTACAGCTGATAGGATCTCTCCTCTTCCCCGTTCTCCATCCTCAGGGAGGCCTGGAGGCATCACTGCCAGGGCAAAGACCTCACGGACTGGGTGGATGGCTGTGACTTCTAGATGAACGAGACCACGCACAGCAGGCTGGGAAATGTGGTTTGGTTCCTGAGCCAGGCTTGGGAAGACAAGCCCACGAATAAAGTGTGGTTGAACGTGAAGATGGCTCTCAGCTCTCAGTGTGTCTGCAGGTGCCGGGTTGGAACCAGGGCACCTCTGTGTTACCTCCCCTCACCTGTCTGCCTGGCCGGGCTTCAAGTGGAGTCCAGAAATCCCATCACCAGAGGCTTACGTCCATTCCTAGTGGCCTGGGGCAGGTGTTGGGGTGGGGGCATCCATACGTTTTTTGTCCACCACACCTAGTAGAGTTTGGGTGTAGGGTGGCCAGATTTAACAAAACAAATATATAACAAACAACAAAAACAAGATGCCCCAGTTTAATTTGATATACAACAAATAATTTTAAGTATGTCCAAAATATTGCATGAGAACATATTTACATTAAAATTATTTGACATTTATCCAAAATTTAAATTTAACTGGGTGTGTTATGTTTTACCTGGCCACCGTAGCTGGATCTAGGGCTATGTACCTCTGGCTTGATTGGGAAGGTCCTTGGGACACTTATTTTCTGCAGCTTTGGTTGCAGATGGTGGCCACTGTGCTTTGGCCCTCTAGCTGTGACTGCTAACACTCACCCCTGCCACCCTGGGGTGCTGCTTGGTCCCCGGAGAAGAATGACCACCCAGAGCTTCAGCTCTCACCTTGCTCTCTGATGCCCTCTCGTGGCAGAAGATTCAAGTGCCGCAGATAGAGACGGTGCAGTCACTCCTTGGGTAAGGAAGTCACCACCCCCTGCCCACCACTGCTAGGAGGCTGGAGGATGGGGTGGGAGTGACCATGGCTTTCCAGCTGCACAGCCAGTGCAGTCCTCTGCCTTCCTCAGCACACAGGAAGCTCAGAAGGAGGCAGCACGGTCCCTGGCTAATCTGGAACGACTGCCTCTAAAGGAGGAAGGTGGGCGGGGTCTCAGGATCACAGTGGATGTGGTGGTAACAGCAGCAGTTGCAGGGACAGAGTGATGTGTGAGAAGCCTGAGCCCTGAGTTCTGATTGTAGGTTCTGAAAAGGCTCCAAAGAAACCTGCAAGTACTGAACTGTTGGTTGAGGCATGGTTGGTGACTTAGGGAGACAATGTTGCCCCCCCATGCTCCCCCACCTAACTAATTCAGGCATCCGTGCATGTCTCCAGTCAGCAAACACCCGAGGGGTGTGGAGTGTCCACAGTTATCAAGGCAGGCCGGTTTCCTTCCCCTGCTGGTTTGGTCAAGGTGATGATGAAACTTGAGAGTGACTCATACAAGGGGACAGAGTGGTGAAGAACCCTGCTGGGAGTGGGGACATTGATGACTAATGGAGCTGTTCAATCATGAGTAGGGGGAAGCTGCTGTCTTTTTAATGTTAAGGCAAACACTGAGTGCCTACCATGTGCCATGCATGAGCTAATCTAGACCCTAGAACAATAGCTATGATGTAGGTACCATTATGACCACCATTGCATAGACAAGGGGAAACCGAGGCTCAAAGGAGATAAATTTGCACCCAGGTCAGTGTGACTCACTCACGTACTTTGCTGAGGGGCTGTTGTTATGGTCATCTGGCCAGGGACCCATAACTCACCCATCTTTATTTTTTAAAAATATATTTTTTGTAAGACAAATTAAAAATTTTATTTATTTTTATTTGTACAACTTATGGGTACATGCGCGATTCTGTTACATATATAGATTGCACAGTGGTCAAGTCAGGACCTTCAGGGTATCCTTCATCTGAATAATGTGCACAGTCTCCATTAAGTAATTTTTCATCGCCCACCCCCTTATACCTTCGCATTGTTCCGAATCTCCATTGTCTATTACTCCACTCTTTTTTTTTTTTTTGAAATGGAGTCTCACTCTGTCACCCAAGCTGGAGTACAATGGTGTGATCTCAATTCATTGCAACCTCCACCTCCCAGGCTCAAGCAATTCTCATGCTTTAGCCTCCTGAGTACAGGTGCCTGCCACTGTGCCTGGCTAATTTTTGTGTTTTTAGTAGAGAGTAGGGTTTCACCATGTTGATCAGGCTGGTCTCAAACACCTGACCTCATGTGATCTGCCCACCTTGGCCTTCCAAAGTGCTGGGATTGCAGGCGTGAGCCACTGCACCTGGCCCCTATTATTCAACTCTTTATGTCCATGTGTACACATATTTTCACACACACTTAGGAATGAGAACATGTGACATTTGACTTCTGTGCCTGGCATTTTTCACTTAAGAGAATGACCTCCGATTCCAGCCATGTTGCTGCAAAAGACATGATTTCATTCTTTTTAAGGGCTGAATAGTATTCCATTGTGTATATATACCAAATTCTCTTTTTCCATTCATCCATTACACTTAGGTTGGTTCCATATCTTTGCTGTTGTGAATAGTACTTTGATAAACATATAAATGTATGTGTCTTTTTGACATAATGGTTTCTTTTCCTTTGCGTAGATACCCAGTAGGAGGATTGCTAAACTGAATGGTAGTTCTAATTTTAGTTCTTTGAGAAATCACCATACTATTTTCCATAGAGGTTGTACTAATTTACACTCCCACTAACAGTGTATAAGAGTCTCCCTTTTCTCTGCATCCTCATCAACATTTGTTGTTATTGCCTTTTTAATAATAGGCATTCTGATTAGGCTGAGATGATATTTCACTGTGGTTTTAATTTGCATTTTGCTTTGATCAATGATGTTGAACATTTTTTCATGTAACTGTTGACTATATGTTTTCTTTAAAAATGTCTATTCGTGTCCTTTGCCCACTTTTTTTTTTTTTTTGAGAAAGGGTCTTACTCTGTTGCCCAGGCTGGAGTGCAGTGGCAGCCTTGACTTCCTGGGCTCAAGCAATCCTCCCACCTCAGCCTTCTGAGTAGCTGACATTATAGGCATGTACCACCACACCTGGCTAATTTTTGATTTTTATAGAGACAAGTTCTCGCTGTTTTGCCCAGGCTGGTCTGAAACTCTGGGACTCCAGCAATCCTCCTGCCTTGACCTCTCAAAGTGCTGGGATTTTAGACATGAGCCACCTTGCCTGGCTTGCCCACTTTTTGATAGGATTGTTTCTGTTTTTGTTTTTTGTTTTTGAGTTGTTCGACTTGTTTGTGTATGCTAGATATTAGTCTCCTGTTGAATGAATAGTTTGTAGATATTTTCTACCATTCTACAAGGTGTTTATTCTGTTGATTATTTCTTTTCCTATACAGAAGCTTTTTAGTTTAATTAAGTTCCATTTGTCCATTTTTCTTTTTGTTGCCTGTGTTTTTGAGGTCTTAGTCATACATTCTTTACCTAGACCAATGTTCAGGAGAGTTTTCTCTAGGTTTTCTTCTAGTACTTTTATAGTTTTGGGTCTTAGTTTCACCCATCTTGAATTGATTTTTGTATATGATGAGAGACAGGGGTCATTTCATTCTTCTGCATATGGCAACCCAGTTTTCCCAGCACCTCTTGTTGAAAAAGGTGTCCTTTCCCCAACATATGTCCTTGTCAGCTTTGTCAAAGACCAGTTAGCTGTAAATATGTGGCTTTATTTCTGAGTTCTGCACCCTGTTCTCCTGATCTATGAGTCTATTTTTATACCAGTACCATGCTGTTTCAGTTACTATAGCCTTGTAATATAATTTGAAATCAGATAACATGATGCCTCCAGCTTTGTTCTTTTTGCTTAGGATTGCTTTGGCTATTTGGGCTCTTTTTTGGTTTCATATGAATTTTAGGATTTTGTTTTCTAATTCTCTGAAAAATGACTTTGGTATTTTGATAGGGATTGCATTGAATCTGTAGATTGCTTTGGGCAGTATGGTTGTTTTAATGATACTAATTCTGATCCATGGTTCGACCCATCCATCTTTGAAGGGTTCATGCCTTCTACTTCAACTGTTTGCTAAGAGGAGGAAGGAGAAAGAGGAAGGTGTGAGAAAGAGAATGAGGAGAAGGGGAATGGTTTGGAGAAAGTAGTAGAGAGTTCCCTGGAAAGTGGGGGAGAATTCAATGAATTTTTGTGACTTTTGGTAAGTCGCCCCATTCTTGGATTAGTTTGGCTCCTGGAGACAGATTTAAAATGGGCTTTTCTGTATCTTTTGTGGTAAGGGTGGACTGAATGTTCCTGGGGATGATTGGCTTGTTAAGATGCAGTCCCTTCTCTACCTGTAAGCACAGGTGAGGGCAGCAGATGCCCCTGGCAGCTGAAGGAGGCGTTGCTGGGTACTCTTTCTGTGTGGTCCATGCCCTCAGCTGGGAATGGCTGCTTCTCTCCACTCTGAGCACTGACCTGAAGCTTCTAGGGTAGGGGGATGGTGGAAGGTGGGCCAGTCAAAGGGAGCCCAGAATTTCCTGGACCCCATCATCTCTGTGCCTATGGCAGACACTGCAAACTGAGTACAGCCTTTATCTTTACTGAGGTGGCATGTGTCCAGGAATCTTTCTTTCTTTTCTTGTCTATCTTTTTTTTTTTTTTTTTTGAGATGGAGTCTCACTCTGTCACCCAGGCTGGAGTGCAATGGCATGGTCTTGGCTCACTGCAACCTCTGCCTTCTGGGTTCAAGTGATTCTCCCACATCAGCCTCCCAAGTAGCTGGGACTACAGGTGTACACCAGCATGCCTGGCTAACTTTTGTATTTTTAGTGGAGACAGGGTTTCACCATGTTGGCCAGGCTGGTCTTGGACTCAAGTGATCCATCTACCTTGGCCTCCCAAAGTGCTGGAATTACAGGTGTGAGCCACCTTGCCCAGCCAAGGAAGTTTTCCTGACCGTTCAATGGTAGTCACTCTCAATGGAGTTGGCATGTAGGACAGGACCTCTTTATCATCTCTGATCTACCCTATGTTGGTCATCACAGCAGCACAGCATCCAGAGGAGACTGAGATGGTCATCCCCATTTTTAGGAGGAAACTGAGTCTCAGAGAGGTTCTAGAGTTTGCCCAAGGTAGCACAGTTGGTGGAGCTGGGATTTGGATGGGGCCGTCAGATTGCCGAGGCCATGCTTCATCCTCAGCTGCACCAGCTGCCATAGCTGGCCTAGCACTTGGACTCTCAGCAGGCTGTCCCCTGGGATGGGAAGGCATAG